TAGGATTAGGTGTCACGGGTATGTCCAAAGCAGGAGAAGAAATAGATGAAGATAATATATGGACGTAGCCTGCGTTGCGTCCTCCCTTTCACTACCCCAGTGTCCAGGTGTAGAGGACGCATCGATGTGTTGAAGGTTTCACCGTTTTAGACGTCTGTGAGCCACTAATGATAAGTTATACTTCCAAATAGGATGTCGTTCGATCTCGGGGCTTTGAAGAGCGTCGCTTTTGCTAGAGTTGATCGTGTGTGCCGTAGAAATAGACGGGTGGACGGATGACGGCGAGAAGAAAGATTCGAAGCCAAGGGATGTCGATGGCGCGGGGAACCTTGTACGATCCGGTAAGAAAGCTATCAGGGCATCGAAAAGGATCGCAGAGCGGATACATACTAGAACAAAGATTCGACGAGGTGAAAGCAGGGCGTGCGATGTTCGTTACAAGAGTGTACCGTGGCATGATGACCTTGCATCTGAACGGCGGTACGAGCACGGGCTGAAGAGTGCAGCAAGGATGCAGTTGGATCCCATGAGTATCATCATGGTAAAGTATCTGAGAGGGGATACATGCTAGATCAAAGACTCGGGGAGGCGAAAGTTGGGCCCAGCGCGATCGCCGATGTTCGATACGAGAGCGTGGCGTGAAAATTGGCCATACTGGCCTTGCGTCTGAACAGTACAAGCACAGGCTACTAGGGGATATATGAGTGCATCGGCAGGGACAAAGGCCGATTATGCTAGCAAAGAATCTGCCATCGTACGTCGGGCTTGAAGACGCTATAAAAGCGTACGAAGATCAAATACTCGGAGGCGGATTGTCTGTCGATGATCTCCGAGAGTATGTTTTTGGAAGAAAGGACAAAGACACTAGCAAGAGTCACATGAGGGTCAGTATAGCGGTCGGACAAGATTTGAACGATCTGAGAGTTGACGGAAGAGCGGCTCGAGTGTTCAGAAACTTGAGAAGAGCAAGAAGAGTATACGTAACCGGCGATTTCCGGGGGTAAACGCACGTGACCGCGTTCAAGAATCAAGACTCGCGACTTGTCTTCTCTTGTCTTGAGGCTTGAGTTTGTCTCGTCGCCACAGTACGACTGCCAGAGCGCAAGCTATCGAGCACGACGACGACGACAATGGCGCCGAAGAGCAGCAAGGTATCGCGGCAGAACACACTGAAGCTGGTCGCCATAGATGGACCTCGCCCGGCGAAGAAGCTGAGACGGCTGAACCCCGTCCGTGTCTCTTCATCCCCTTACACCCTCCCTGCTCACTTATCGGTCAATATTGTAGCTCACAAATGGCGCACCGATATTTGATCTCTCGCCCTCACCGTCCTCTTCTACGCACTCTCCACCTCCCTCGCAGCCGCTTCCTCCATCTCAGCCTTCGTCGAACAAGAGCAGAAGCAAGCTCGAGTCGAACCGAGGCTTCAAGGTTCCCTCGATACACGCAGGTCTGAGCGGAAAGGGAAAGGCCAAGGCGCAAGAGCCTGTCGCTGATGATTTAATGTGGGTAGATGTCTACGAACCAGAGACAGAGGTCCGTATTTTACATTCGACTAAACGGGCTCTACTCATATTTCCCGACGCAGGAAGACTTGGCGGTTCATAAACGCAAGGTGAACGACGTCAGGCAATGGCTCCTCGAAGCTTTTCAACCGAGCAAGCTTCAGAAATACCGCGTTGGTCTCTTCTTCTGCATCGTTCATTACTATCGACTGCTAACCTCCTGCTTTCTACGTCTCACACAGCGCCTCCTCGTCCTCACAGGCCCCGCAGGCTCAGGCAAAACAACGACCCTGCGTGTTCTATCTCGTGAACTCGGGTTTGAGATATTAGAGTGGAGGAATCCGTTGGCTGTCGCTACTGCCTCTTCTGGTCGACGTGCAAGATTCGGTGAGCTCTTCGACTTTTCATGGAGTGTCTGGGGTGCAGGAGTACTTGAATGTGTGCTGCTTCCGAAATGCGATTACGAGTCTTATACATTCGTGTTTCTCACATGTGTGCGTACGTGTATGCTGTTCCTGTCCATGCTGCATCTAATGTGCTGTATTAAGAGAATCCAGGCCGATTGCACTCGCACCCCTATCCATGCGCACTCTCTACTCTCTCCTCTTCCTGACCTTCGCACCCTCTACTCCGCATCACTAACCCATTCTTCTTCTCATCTCTCCTCCCCTCAAACTTTCACAGACAACCACAACCCCTACGACTCCGACTTAGACGACTCCCCCTACGACGACGATCCATACGAATCCACAATGGACAAATTCGAAGCGTTCCTCACCCGCGCGGGGTCCTATCGGTCCATTTTTTCTTCTTCTTTGCCTTCCTCCTCATCCCTATCACCGTCTCCCGCTGCTCCTGGACCTTCATCCTCTCGGACTCAGACTTCATCACAACAACCGCCACAGAAACAGCAACAACAGAAACAACAGCTCATCCTGCTCGAAGACCTCCCCAACATCCTCCACCCCTCCGTTCGGGACCGGTTCCATGCCACACTAAAAGCCTATCTTGCCATTCCTTCTTCTTACTCCTCTTCCTCTTCTGCACAAGCAAGCGAAAATGAAAAGGGAAGAGCACCAGCCCCAATCGTGATCATCATAAGCGACACAGGCCTGCGGGGTGAAGGCTCCGAAGAGAAATTTCTGGACGGGGTGGCGGGGGGTTCAGGTTCAGGAGGAGGGGGAGGGAGAGGAGGAGGGAGAGAGGAGGTGTTGGACTATAGAAGTGTTGTGGGTGAAGTGGGCATGGGTGCGGGGGCAGGGGGGGTTACGAGGATTGAGTGAGTGATTTTTTTTTTCGCTTTGGTAGTCGGGTTGTTGTTTGGGGGGAGAGATTGTAGGCTGGAGATTGAAGAGGTCGGAAGGGAGGGACTGCTGGTGCGCGACTTCTCGTGGTCCATGACCCTGCATTTCTCCTATATTACTTGGTTTTTGCTCCGATTCATGGCCTGGACGAATCGCCGACTTTTTCCGTCTTTGCTCTCCATTTATTCTTGGTCTTGTTTCGCCCCATGTGCCGTTTGTATTCGTGTGGCGCGCCACACAACTGCGCTTTGACACAGGTTCAACCCCATCGCTCCGACTTACCTCACGAGCGCGCTCAAATCGCTTCTTGTCCGTCTTGCGTCTTCATATTCCACTACCTCTTCTTCTTCCTCCTCTCATCCTTCCTCCCAACGATCCACCTCCGCTTCTCAGCGTTCGACCGCCAACATCTCTCAACCTTCGACGGCCTCTTCGAATGCATCATCCTTCATCCATCCCCCCCCCCAACATCCCCGCATGCTAAACGTCTGATCGACATAGTCGTGAGCGGAGCGGGCGGTGATGTCAGGAGCGCGGTTATGAGCTTGCAGTTTGCGATGAGGAGGGTTGGGGGTGGGGTGGGCGGAATAGAAAGCGGTGGGACAGAACGGGAAGGCGGAAAGAAGGCGACGAAAGCAAGGAAGGGGTAAGTTTTTTTTAGAACCGTTTTTATTGGTTGGGTCGGTTGGATGTGTGTGGTCAGGCTGACCTTGGTGGTGTAGGAGCACAAACGGAAGTATGAACATGATGGACGCGGCGGCGCTGGCGACGTTGACGAGGAAAGAGAACGCGATGGCGCTGTTCCATTTGATGGGAAGGGTGTTGTATAATAAACGTGAGTTCCTCGAGTTTCTGATCTTGAGTTCTCTTTTCTGTTTGCTCGAGACGGTTTTGGTTCGAGAGATACTTTCTTGTTCGGTCGAGATTTAGGAGCTGGGTGCGCCCACTCGGGCTCCGGTTTGAGAGTTGTAAGGACAGAAAGAAGAAGTTTGGCTTCCATCTTTATTCTCGCTCTCGCGTTCGTGTCGATTTGTTGAATCTGGGTCCTTGATGGTCAAAGTCCGAGTCCGAGTCCCCTCCGTGTGTTTCGTTTCACTCCTTGTGCCTACGCGCGACACGACACGACACGACACGACACGACGCTTGTCTCTCTCTTCCTCGCCGCGCGTTCGTTGGGATTCTGTTTTGATACGTGTTTAGGCTTAAGCGAGCGCGTTCTACCGAATGAACAATGTTGCTTGGTATCGGGACTGGCAAGCGTCTCAACGCAGCCGTTTCGATGCTGAGCAGCGTGCAAAATGTTTGCGGCAGGACATTGTGCAACTCCTTCATCATTTATATGCTCCTTCTGTTGCGCTGTAGCTGGCAAGGGCTCTGAGTTTGGGTTATGAATCCAGCCTCCATACGTTCCGCTTATGGAAAACTCTGATTCTATCGTGCGTCAAAACAAAACGAGGGCTCGAGTCTGCACGTTTTTTTTTTCTACGCGTGCTCGCCCTCTATATTCCTCGCCCCTTTTCATACTTTTATTCGTTCCTCTCCTTTCACTGCTCTTCTTCCTCCGGTTCCTCTTCCTCTTCATTGCCCACATTTATATCCGCATACGCTAACACAACCTCCCACCCCCACCCACTTCTTTGCACATATGAATATAAACAGGAAAAAATGACCCGCCCTCCTCACACGCCACTGCGCGCGATACAGCGGCGGAGAAGGCGCTCGACGCGACGTTGCGCGATCCGCCGGAGTTGCCGGGGTGGTTGAGGGGCAATGGGGGTGGTAGTAGCAGTGTAGGAGTGGGGAGTGGAGAAGAGAGAAGGACGAGTCGGGTTGATGTCGATGTGAGTCTTTTTTGGACTTTCTTTTTTTTGGTGAGGTGAGGTGAGGCGAGGCGAGGTCTTGGGAGGTGGGGATGTGTCGAGGGTTCGTTGAACGAGGAACAAACGAGATGCTAATCAATTTCTTCTCCTTCTTTTCCTGCGTTCCTCCTACTTCTTTGTCCGGACTGCGAATCGGCGACCCGAATGGTCGATACGTCGTCTTGTACGCTGCGGACTATTACGCCATGTCACGCCACAACTCACCGCGCCATGCCGGTGACCGACTGTCAATCGCTACTCCGAACCTGAACCTGTTGCAAACTCTCTGTCGACACTACAACACCGAAAACAACCCCCAAAAACAGCTCCTGTACGCCTCGACGCCCATCGACGCCTCGCTATACAATCTCTACATCCACCAGAACTACACCCAGTTCTGCGAGGAGATCGAGCAATGTGAGCGGCTCGTGGATGGGCTGAGCTGGGTAGATGCGAGTGGTGGCGAGAACGTAAGTGCTTGCGCGTTTCTTCCGCTGGTTTCTATACTTGCTGACGTTTCTCCCTCTTCATTCGTACTTATTTTGACGGATGCCATTCACCATGCCTCCGAATCCGACACGATGACGAACGACCTATCTGACGGCCTAAAGTGGTATCAATCCAATCCGTACACAGTCCACATCTCTACCCTCTCGACGCTCCACGCCCTCCCCTCGCCCGTCCCGCGCAAGAACCAGAAAATGCATAAACCTGAATTTTTCGAGAATCTGCGGAAGACGAGGACGGCGGACGAGGACGGCATGGGAGGTGTTCGGGGATGGTTGACCATGACTTTCGCAACAGGGTCTGCGTCTGGTGCAAGATGGAATAGTGGAACGGGGAGAGAGGGAGAGGGAGGAGACAGTACGATCCAGCCTGCGTCGCTTTGGTCGAGGCATTCCATCGTCCTCGAGCTGCCGGGTGTTTTAAAAGCGCTGAGCCATCGGCCCTCCCACCCTCATCGTCCACCACCAGCAAATCACACATTGTTTTCCTCCCTTCTCTGGTCGAGGCACGCATCCTCCTCTATGGCGGTGACACTGGAAGAAGGCGACGACGAGGCGGCAGGGGCTATGGAGGAGATGGAGAGAGAGATGCCGGAGAGTGGGACGGCCGTGGAGGTGGATGATGATGGGGATGGTGGTGCTGCAGAGGCGCAGAATGGGTGGTTGGAAGATGATGAAATCGAGGATTGGTGAGTGCCGACCAGGGGAGTCGGGTGAACTGAAGAGGATGCACGTCGGGCGCTTGTGCTCGCGATCTTCGTGCTTGGAGATCTAGCCTTATTTTAACGATGATGCTCGCCTAGGAGGGGACCTTCGAATGATTTTTTTATCTTGTGCCCGCTGCGATGGACCCATCTGTCTTGATGTAAAGTATTTTGTATGACATTGCTTATACCCTCGCTGGGCGAATTCACTTCCTGATATCCTGTCGAATCTTCATGATTTTGGAACGGCTGGACCATTGGCGTTGGCGTCTCCTCAATTTGAAGGTCAACACTCCAACTGGCTACCCTCGTCCTTCCTTCTCATGGTGAAGGTGCCACAGTTGTCTGGCATCGTAGCGAAGAAACATGGTATTCGTTGTCGAGTGTCTGGGGTCTACAGTCTACCCTGGTTTTGATATGTGCTTCTCCGGTACTTTTATTAGAGTCATCCAGGATTCGAGTTCAGTGTTTTGGTGCAGATTAAAAAAAACGGAGCTGGATAATTTGCGTGCCACACAAAGTTGAAGCTCTAACCCTAACCCTGGCGTCCGCACCCGAAACCATCCTCGTCGCCACAGCTCCTGATCTGTACTTGTATGTGCTCCGTCTGCTTGCCACTTATGCTCGTCGCTGACCTGGACGAGATACAGATTTTGGGGACGTACGGTCTTTTTCGGCACGAAAATGTGCCGCCGGATAATCATAAGACTTCCGATATGTAGCTGGACCTCCTGCATGACGGTGTGAATCTTCAATCCATGCTCTCGTCGAAGTCGGCACATTCTGGAACTCTCCTTTCGCTTCTCCAGTCATCTGGATCTTTGTTCTGCTTTTTGACGGACGATTATGGCCAGATGACGCACAGCCTCCTGCTTCTCCCAATCAAATACCATTATGATGATGATTACACGCCACTCAGATCCGCTTACAGCCCTCAGACACGAATCAGCTCGAACCGGCACTTTTTGCAAGATGATTCGTTTGTACAGCGCTACTCTGTGCACATGATGACCGGTTTGCCGCGTGAAGCTCAAAGCAAGCTGTTCTCCAGCATGCGAACGGGCTGGCCTTTGTCTTATTGTGCCGGATTAGGACACCATTATGCCTTGCTTTGACGCACCGCCACCGTCCGATCCCAGCATATAAAAGTACGTCCCTTCTCCTCCTCCCTGCTATCTTCAACTCACTAACGCCGAACCATTCTACCACAGTTTATTCGTCAGTGAAGAATTATCATCGTTATTATCATGGTCCTAGCAGGCCTTCTCTTCCACGTCGTGCTCTTCTGCTTTACCGCAGGCCCATTCCTCGCACCTGCCCTTCATCAAACCATAGACCTTCTCAAGAACAC